ACAGCCGTCCGTAAAACACGACTGAGACGAGTTTTAGCAAACATGCTAACAGCGGTGCTTGTACCGGGATCAAGGACTCGTTGGAGTGTTACAGACGTCTGTGTACTGGATGTAACCAGAGCTGCTGGTTCAGGTGGAGTTCAGTAGACCTGGGTTCAACAAGGACCGCTTCTATTGGCTGATTCTGTTAGTCTGACAGGTTGGAAAGCAAACGCAGCCCAAAACACACTCCTCTGAGCTTTAGCTGTAATCCTGAAGAACGTTTGTTGACTTTGAGTCAGTCTGAAGTTTTATAGACTTCATGGACGACATCTTCAGACACTAATACGTCGGTGTCGATACTTTGGTTCTGTGCCNTTTTTTACCCAATCAAACCGTTTTGCTGCTGATCCAGCCTACGGATCAGTAAATTGTTATTTTAAGGAGTTGAAAGAAAATCTTTCACACTTTTTCTTTCCCATTATTTCGTATTCTTTCTAATACGTCACCCTAAATGCATTTTCTCATTTACTCAGCTCAAGGTGCTCTCTGCTGAAACACCTGGGCGCTGAACCCTTCCTGTAAAACCCTGATGTCCGCATTTACTGAACTGAGCACGACGAACGTTTCCCTCCTCAGCTCATTCACTCTGTGGAGTTTGTGAAAAAATACTGGATGTTGTCTGAGGCTGACGAAACCAAACTTCGCTCCCTAAAATAAAAATCAAGATAAAAATGTCCTTTTTTATGACCTAGTGTTATTCTAGCATCTGTGAATAGGTTTGTATCTTCGTCAAAAATGTAAAATAGTGAAGCTACGTCAAACCAATTTTAGCCGTCCGTTGTGCCAAATTTAACGCCTGGAGGTATTTACAGGTGTAAGCTGCATTAGGCTCTTTGTTTGGGTTATTCGGTCTGTACTTAGCTGATATGTTACCGCCCTCTCGGCTCTCGGTAATGCCCCCGGTTAACCCCTCCAGGAACAGTGTCTCCGGCTAATGAGCTTACAGAACATACTGTTCTCTATCTGCTCAGTGTGAATGGCACATAGTAGCTGTAAATCAGGGGTTAGTGAGGTCAGGAGAGGATTTAGCAAGCCAAAGTGACCGAATCAGAGTTAAAACACCAGAGTTACGGTCATCAGGTGGTCACAGATATGGCTCCAATGGAAGACGTTGCTCTGTGCAGGAATCAAGGCGACTGGTTGTTAATGTGTCGGCCACAACAGGCTTGTGGTGCGATGTTAGTACACAAGACTTCTGTCCCTGTGAGGTAAAGACAACTTAACCAGGCGTCTGCATTGGTTAACTGCTGAAGCTAGCGTAGCAGCCGCATGGCTTCGGTGGCCTCAAACTGGAAGTCCATGGTGGCAAAAGGTGTCGACACTGAGATGCTTCAGAAGGAAAGTCAGGAGATAACCAGCTGAGCATTTGTGGCAAACTGCCCGACAGTCATCAGCTGTTATTCAAGCTAGTACCGTAAACTCCAGACTATGAGTGCACCTGAATATAAGCCGCACCCACTAGCTGTAAAAAGAAAACCAGGTGTGTTCATATCCAGGCTGCAGGTGTCTCTGAGCTGCAGGTGTCCACGTTGGAACATGAGATATTTACACAGAAAGATGTTTAAACTTTTAATTTAATACGTACCGTAGAGGCTTTTTTCTGAACAGTTCCTGTAACACGGCTGGTTAAGGAAATAAAACTCCAGCAGCTACCAGGAAAAGCCATCGATGGCTATCTTCATCTTCCTCCTGCACTAAAACCACTGAAGTAGCGACCACACGTCTTTATTGGTCAAAGTCAGGGATCAGTAGAGTCAGTAGGCTTCATCCACTGGGGACCGTGAATATCTGTAAAAGATTTAATATCAATCCATCCAATCACTGTTGAGGTATTTGAGCTGCGACCCAAGTGACGGCTCCGTCCGACGTGGAAGGGCTTCTCGGTCTGACTCAGGGGTTGGAAACTAATGAAACCCCTACATTAGCACAACCTTTTTACCACTTTTGTGTAAAGAGCCTTTTCGCTTCCCTCCTCACCTCCGTCCTCCCTTCGGCTGCTGCGTCCCCTTTGACCCTCTCGGGGGTGGACTAATAGGAATTTTGTTCTCCGGAGTGTTTTTCCGCCTCCATCACTCTGCAAATACGTATACCTCTTTGGCTGGCTGTCCTCAATTTCTCCCGGCCGTCTTCGTATCTCCCACCACTTCCAACGCCAGCAGAGGAATGAAGGAGTGACGGGGGAATCATACTTTGTGATAGATGGTCTCCACCAAAATGTGGTCATTACTGCGGAGGCGATTGCTATTTTGATGCATAGATCTCCTCATCGACTTCCCTGGAAATTTAAATGAGATCTGAATTTTTCATGCACCTCCAAATGGCCGGCGCTGCTAATGTCTCGGTTTCGATGTGTGAGCTTTGAGGGAGCACAGCGACAAGAACACCTTTAGCAGAGCGTAATTTCCCGCAGGTCCCTCTGTCACAGTCATACGAATAATTCATTGTGGCCAGACTTGATTCATTGGCCTGTTTCTTTTTTTTCTTTTCTTTTTACAGGCACTTGTAATAGTAATTAATCAGGAGCTCATTTTTGATGATCATGAATCAGTTTTGGCTCCTGCGTTGGTTCATCGGTCTTGAAAGTTGACTTCATGCGTTGCTTGGTCCTGCACCAAGGCTGTTTTCTTCTGCTATTTCTTCTCTGTTGAACTTTGCACTAACCCGACTACGTGGTGAGATTTTGTACGCTGTATTAATTACTCTCAGTGTTACAGATTCACCGGCAGCGATGCAAATGAGCAACAGGCAGAATGCCTCCGTGCATTCTTAGTGTTTCACTCAACAATGCCGTGTCGCTGTGGTCCAGTCGCGGCAGCGCTTCGTCCCGGACGGCGTTTCATTCGTCACTTTGCAATGTAATTAAAGCTTTCTCTGGGATTCCTCTGGCTGCAAAGGCTGGAGGCCACATTTCTCTCAACACAGCTGCATTCTTCATCCATCGCCGGCGGTTTTACTCGTGGATGTGAGCTGCTCCAAATGTTTTCTCTTCAGCCCTCCAGTGACAGAAACGGGGTTTAAATGAAACAGAAGTGCAGTGAAACCTGTCTGATCCAGATGAGTAGCAGCGGACGTGGAGTTTGTGTGTTTCTGAATTTCTCTTTGAGATGTTTTTTTGCATTCAGTGCCGGTGCAGCGAGTCGATGTTGTGGCTCAGAAGTACGGGTGAGGAGGTCGGGGTGGAGAGTGGGCGCGTCTAGCTTCTATGTGGAGCCGACTTTGACCAAATGTTATCGTCTGTACTCGATGGTTTTGGGTAAATGATTTTATACATGCTGTCCTCCAACCACGTCTGCAGCCCAAGTGTTTATAGCTTGAAGGTGAAGACGTGATGATCATGACAGTTTGAGGCAATATTTAGTTTGTATTGTTGCATTTCTGCACATCAGAAACAAAGAAGCTCAAATCACAAACACATGACGAGGTGAAGGTTAATTAGAGAATGCATCTTTGGGAAGCAGAGGAGATTTCTTCTTCTCTTCCACACCCAGTTTACAAACCTAACTTCCAGCTACTTCCTCCTCAGTCGCTGCTCACACTTTATCCTGCAGCTTGAACTGACCTTGTCTCGGCGGCGCAGAGCTTTCCACAGAGCCTCCCCGACTCGGCCCGACCTTTCTCCGTGTCGCATTTACACGTACGGATGACACGGTACATTAGATCCCTGGAGTGTAAACCTGTGAACAGCGAGCAGTCAAATGTGAAGTTGCTGTTGAGGTTTCCCCTCAAGTTGACCTGTCATCTCTGCCAGCGGCTGGAGGTCTCCGGGGGCCGGCATACCTCCACAGAGAGGCAGGAAAACACACGGAAAGAGCGCATTGAAGAAAGGCTGCCCGGGAGAGAAAGAAATTGAAAGAGATGTGGATAAGTGCACCTTTGAAGAGAACATCAGCAGGTTCGCGGCACTCAGGCAAACCTCTCTCCTCCCTCCTCGCCGAGGACCCGTCTGAGCAGATGAAAGCAGGAGCCTCTTTGAGGCGGCGCCCCGGCATTATCCCTGCATCCTGCTGCATCAAGTAATTGAAAGACCTGGGGGTGTGGTGGGGGGCTCGGGGGAGAGGAGGAGGCTCCTCATTGAGTCATCCTTGAAACTTTTGGATGCACAACAGAGAAGACGTCAGCTCCTGGGTTTTTAATAGATGTTGAGCTAAAACACTCGGAGGGTTCAGAATTTGTAGCTAAACTGTGTAATAGTTTAATTTTAGTGAGTAACGGGGAACAAAAGCCGCCATCGCTGGGCCGGCATCTCAGTCACAATCCAGATAATTAACATTAACACAGAACAGAATGACTGAGGTGTCCGGTGCTGCAGGTTTTTATTTTACAAGCAGCGTGACACAGAATATATGCAGAAATCTGGTGTCATAAAACCGTCAGAAATCCACAACCCGCCTGGTAGCTGCCACATTATCTGAGCAAATGAAGCTGAAGAGACACAGCGGCACCTGTGTTGTTAGAGAAGGCAAGAAAAGGAGACGTTTCATGTATTATAGTGTTTGTGTACGGGGGGATTGGATGCTGTGCGCTCCCCAATGGATCACAGTAATCTCTGTCAAATCAGTGTCAATGCACTGTCTGCATGCTTCTTAATCCGCCTTGGCATGGCATTCAGCATGTTGTTCAGCAAACGTATTATCTGCGTTTCAGATGAACACATGACGGATCTCAAGCTGTCACATGTTGAACCTCAGACGTCGTTTGACTTTTCTGATGAAGATGTGAGTGAAGCAGGAAAATGAGAAGCTGTGTGACTGAAACGCCTCCTTAAAAGTGTTCTCTTTGTTTTAAACAGAGCTTTTCTTTCAGCAAAGCGGGGAGCTCACACCTTCCTCTCCTCCCTGAAGGTCTCCTGCTCCTCCTCGCTCCCTCCTCGCTCCCTCCGGTCCTCCAGTGGATGAAGCAGAACATGGTTTCTCATTATCAGCCAGACTCCTCCCTCTCTTTGACTGCTGCTGCCTCTCCTCCCTCCCTCTTGTGCGGAGAGCTCGGCGGTGAGCGTTAATCCCGGATTGCGCTGCCCTGCCGTCTGCATCCCGTCGTCGTTGCTGGGAGAGCATGGCTCGGCTCCAGGACCCCTGTGCTCACCCAGGAGAGGAGTGACCGAGCCCAGAGGCGAGAGAGGGAGGAAGGAAGGGAGGAGGAGGCAGAGTTGGGACGACTGTCACAGCTGCCCGAGTGCTGCACTGCACTTGAGTTTCAGTCACACTCTGACGAGAGGAGAAGGAAGGATGGCAGCCGGTTTGTCGCAGGTGTGAATGTGAATGAGGACGCCTCTGTCACATCCTGGCTTCCTCCACGTCGTGACTCCTCTCCGCTCCGCGTTGCGTCTTCCTCGCCTCTCACACTTAAGACGGATTAAACTTTTTCCTTTTTTTTCTTCTTCTTCCCTTCCTTTTTTTTTCTTTTCTTTTTTTTTTCCTGATCTCTCGTCGGCACATCCGGAGCTCTGTCCGACATGGAGTCTCCCACCAAAGAGATCGAGGAGTTTGAGAGCACGGCCCTGAAGTACCTCCAGCCGGAGCAGATAGAGAAGATCTGGCTCAGGCTCCGGGGACTGTGAGTATTTCCACTTTCACTGCTTTCAACAAGTGTGTGTGTGTGAAGTTTTTATAACAGCCAGGTGAATTTATCCGTAGGACTTTAATTAGATGAGGTTTGAGAGAAAAAGCAGACGTGAATAATCCAGAAAGCTCGACTGATTCTTTCTGTCGGAGATGTAGGAGAGGGAGAGAAGAAGAGCAAAGGTTAGACGAAGTAATAAAAGTGGAGTGAACGCAGAGAGACGTTGGAGCTGCTCAGTCCAAACAGCAGCTATCAGGTAATTCCTCAAAACTGGTTGATTTATTGGCAGCACGGAAGAAAAGGAAAGCACATGAGAGCTGAAGTGTTGCTGAAACACTGAACTCGATGTGAGTTTTATTTGATCAAATGATTGTTTTGGTGCATCCTCAGTTAAACACCTGTTGTCCAAGATTTAAACTTCAGGGACTCAGTGTGTTGCTGAGGAAGATTTTACAGTCTCTTTATATTTCTCTTTTCTTCTGCCTTTTCCTTAAATGCTGCAAAAGCCTTGAAAATGAAATTCCTTATTCCGACCAGTTTCTTTGAGTTTTTTTTAAACCCTCCGATACTAAAATATTCCTTCCTCACATGCACCAACCAATCAACGCCTCCGTGACCTTTCTCCCCGAGAAGAAAAGCACACGGTTTAAGTTGAAGTGTGAATCTTCTCCTTATCCGTTTGCAGTTTTCATCGTTCCTGCTCGGCGGGGGGAGGAGGAGGCGGCTCTGTTGCTAGGAGGGAAGGCTTATGAACAAAGTCTGTACCGCTGGAGGTCTGAATGAAACGCAGCGTCCTCCTGCACCACAGCTGAATGAAGCGTGCACGGAGCTGCTCACGATTTTCTGTCCTCCAGCGTGACTCCATCATAACGTTTAGTTAGTTTCATGTCACCGCTCTTTGATTGGTTTCGTTCCTGTGTGGGTCCGTCCACCATCATCTTCTGCCACATTCAGCTTCCTCGGATGTCTCGTAACCGTCTGTCTTTTTGGAGAACAGATGGATAGACGTTGGAGTGAATGCAACAGAGCCCAGACCTTTTTATTTTATTTTGTCACCAGGCTGCGGTTTTGCGCTCTGAGGGCTCCTGTTGCGTGTCAGAGATCACATTAGCCTTTAATCTCACAAAGAGCCTCCGTCTGAAGCTCCAGCTGACAGGCAGCGCCCACAGATGTTGACACTTCACACAGTGTATGTTGTGTGTTTAATGGGGAGCCATGATGCAGCCTGTGTGTGTGTGTGTGTGTGTGTGTGTGTGTGTGTGATATGTGGAAAGGTTGAGCGTGCTGGTGCGTGCGGTATAGATTGGATGTGCGTCTGGGAGTGTACATGACGGCTTGGTGACATTTACTATATGTGCTGCCGGCTGATCCTGGCAGGTTTGTTGGGCAGCTGTGTGATCCGTGGGTCGGTGTGAGCGAGCCGGACTCCACAGAGCTTGAAGAGGCCAGGAGAGCGTTGGCCGTGGACGGTCCCTCCGTGGACGGTTCCTCCGTGTCCGGCCCTCGGTGACGCAGTCCGTGCTGCCATGGAGGCGTGTTGTGTTTCGTTGCTTGCCTTTGATGAACGAGCCCGTTATGTTTTTGCGTCGCTGAATGGATTCCGATGGATTTCCATAAATAAATTAGATCGCCGCGACAGACCTGACCTCTCCGTCACCCGCTGATTAATGGAAATCAATGAATTATTTAATTAATTGATCAACATCACGAAGAGCTGGCTGAAGGGAAGGGCAGCGGAGAGGATGGAGGCGGTCGCTAACCGCTTAGCAACGCTAAAAGAAACCTAAATAATCCAAGAACAAATGTGGAAAGTAACTTAGAACCACATTTACTTCAGTAGAGATTAAACTTACTACTGCTGAAGTATCACAGGTTTACTCGATTACATCACAGCTGCAGTTACTACCAGGTTTAATAAACCAAACGATGAAGAGCTTAGAAACTGTGATGAAACAGTATATAATGTAATCACTATTTACATCATTTAATGATTCCAGGGCGTCGATTTGCTGCTTTTTCTGGTCATAGTTTCGTCTGTTTAGCTTTTGTTTTCTTATTTTTCCCAACTAATAGTCAGACAGAGTCAGTCTGAATTATTTAAATGAACATTTCTGTTTATTTTTTAAACCAGGCAGTCGATTAATTGAGAAAGTAATTGACTAATTAATACGTAAAGTGAATATCAGTTGCAGAGAAGAGCAGCAGGAAGCAAACTGAGGAGACGTTGCTGCTTTGACGTCATCACTCCAGTTCCTGTAACGTAGTTCTGAACGGCAGGTTCCTCGTTATCACGTGCTGTAAATATCTCCCATTTAATTTCTATATGTGCATAATCAGGGCTGCAAGGTGGTTAGCACCGTGGCCTCACAGCTAGAAGGTCGCTGGTTCACGTCCTGGTGAGGACACCCGGGATCTTCCTGCGTGGAGTCTCCATGTTCTCCCCGTGCAGCGTGGGTTCTCTCCGGGTTCTCCGGCTTCCTCCCACAGTCCAGAAACATGCTGAGGTTAATTGGTGATTGTAAATTGTCCGTAGGTGTGAATGTGAGTGTGCTTGGTTGTCTGTCTCTAAGTGTAGCCCTGTGATAGACTGGTTACCTGTCCAGGTGAACCTGCCTTCACCCTGAGTCAGGCTCCGCCCCCCATGGCCCTGGTGAGGATTAAGGTGTAGAGATGATGGATGGAGTCACAGCAATCCTTATTCATCCCTACCATACCATACTATGTATACTGGTTCCACGTCACAGTTATCAGTGTTTTTTTGGTGACTAATAATGAGCACCAAAAGGAAAAGCCCGTTTCGGTCGGTCCCTCATTTTATGAGATATTTAAATTAGTTCCCTATCAAGCGCCTGCAACAGTGAAATACACTCTACCCATCACCACGGATAATAACCCAACGGTAAACTGCATAAAAGTTCAGCTGACACGACAGTCAGATGTTCTGCATTGAGTACTTTTGGTATTTGAAGTACTTCTCAGCACAGACAATGTGTACACCGCAGTAATACTACTTTAGCTCACGTGGAGCATGTGACAAGTGAGTTAGTTGCAGATATTTTATCCGGGACCCAGTAATTCGTGGAGTCCTCGTTATGCCGAAGACGTTGCATTAACGATGTCTAATTAGAAGATTGTTGATGCCCATGGAGCGTGCTCAGTGGGACGGGACAGCGGGTCCAGGGTTGGAGATGTCAGGACTTGTGTTCCTCCCCGACCCTCCAGCTTCCATCCAGTCGCCCCGTCCGCTAGTCGTCATCAGCTTCTGTTAAAACATCTTTTTTTTTGTTGGTATCCGTTTAAAACTCCCTGAGACAACCAGTTTACTGTGACACTTTATCTTGTTTTAATCTTAATTGCTCGACAGACCTCACATGATGGATTTACATCCTCCTGCTGATTCCCAAGAAGCTCTTAACATTTCTTTACGGCCGATAACTCCCTTAGCTTGCAGTTTATGCTGAGCTCTAAAAGACTGGTGCGGAAAATGACTGAGAAACAAATCAAGCTAAGTGCTGTGAATTCTGCCTGACCAGAATTTAAATCCACGTCTGCAGTCGAGCAGTCGGTCTTCCCCCCGCTCTGCTGGCATGAGTGCCTTAAAGTGTACGAGTGAATGGATGAACCGAGGTGTGGGCGCTGTAGGCCAAACGCTGGGGTGAGCCATCGTACAGTCGGTGTGTGGATGCGACTGTGTGGGTTTCCCAGAGCGTGTGTGTGTGTGTATGTGTGTGTGTGTGTGTGTGTGTGGTAAAGTTGGTGGGATGTCGGGTGGAGGGGTTTGTGTGTGTGCCTGTGTTTTTTTGCATATCATTACGCCTGTCTTACATCTCTCATCTGCATAAGTGATTCTGAGCATTTGCATTCTTTTAGGGATTCAGCGAGTTATTGTGATGAGACGTAGAAGGAGACAAACCCTGCAATCAGAAGGCCTTTAAATCCACGTATTCGATCCAGTAGTCACTTCCCCGGTTGCTTATTTTAATGAGCTGTTTTTTTCTGCGAGCTTTTCCAGATGATCTCCGTCTAAATTGCTCTAATTTAATCTTGCACATGTGATTATTTGCACTACTGATGCCTCTAAATTACAAGAAGTTCTGCTGTAGCCTCTCAGCAGACTGGCAGGCTGTGATGATGGAGGTTTACTGTGTGTCGTATGTGAGGCGTATATCACATCTGTGCATGTTAAGCATTAGAGAGTCAGTGAATGTGACGAATTCTCCAGAACCACTCGCATGCTCTGACTCCTGTGGTTCCTGCATGACCCCGATGTCTTTTGGTTCTGTCTTTCTGTTGCCTCACTATCCTCATGTTTGTTTTCTTTGGCAGGCGCAAGTACAAGAAGACGTCCCAGAGGTAAGACTCGCTGCTGGGACTCTGGACCTCCTCCTTTTCCTCCCCGCCCTCCTCATCCCTCCTTCCTTTCCATCCTCACCCCTGCCTCCTATTCTCGCCCACATCACCGGGACTCATGGACCGACTCCTACCTTTTTGTTTTCTCTCTTCATTTCTCATTGTAGCTTTTCTCCTGTTAAACCAGTGCAACACGAATAAAGGTTGTTGTTTTGATATCAGTGATTATTATCATTATTACCTCCTCCGTCCATCCCCCTCCATTCGTCGGGGCTAGTTAACCAGACATCGTCCATCTGTATGCATCCACGATTATTCCTCCTCCCACTTCCTCTCTTGTGTTGTTTCAAGCGCCATCCTGTTGTGGTTGCCAGACAGCGGGCGCCCTGGTGGATAGACGGCGTGGTGACACAGTTCACCGTAGACAACACACGGAAGCTGAAAGCCCGACTAACAACTCGAGTGCCATCCATCTTATCTTCTTCATTATGAAACTTGCATTTGTTTGGTTCTGTTGAGATGCTCTGGGGAAATCAGGCTTCCCATTAAGTGGGACTCGATTGCATTTATTTACAAGTTTGAAAGCAGGAATTAATTAATGCCACCGGGTAGCTGATGTGGATTAAGCTATAATTTGTTAAAGAGGCTTCTGCGTTCAGTGTCATTCATTTGTTTTAGCTTCATACATGGTTACTCTGTCCTGGTGCAAAGGATGCATTTCATTCTCCCTCTGCTGATTTAGCGGTTGCACTTTTCACTTCTAAGACATCGTTCGTACTCACTGGACACTAGAGCGCTGCTAAAAAACACCTTTTAATCTTCTCCATGTGTCTGGCAGCGTTGGAGTCAAACCACCTAAATGGAGACTGAGCAATAGAGTGCACTGATACCAGACCAGGAGCTTGAGAGGTTGAGATCAAGTTGAAACCAAGACTGAGGCAAGGAGAGACCAAGTGAAGAGCAGGAGGAGACCAGTGCATGACGTATTTATGATTAAAGGTGGAACATGCCACCTGTTGCACCACTAAAACCTACAGTATACACACTGACATGCACATCTAACATCCACTACTGCTGCTTTGGTATCATGTTGTATTTTGGGGGGTGTTTTTATTCTGGGTGCATCTGAAATGCAGGGTGCACTCGTGTCAATACCTCCAAGTGACCGTCGACCAGCTGACTGTATGTACGTCTGTAGCTGTGGGTTTGACTTTTCAAGGTGATGAACATCCTGAGCTACAGAACACACGCCTAAAACTGCCGTCTAGATGATCTGGGTGTTTGTTTGGACCCATCTGCCCTGGCTCTGGCGCTTGTTCGGGTTGCAGACCAGTTGTTGGGGATGAGTCGGGTGGTAGAAGTGAGCTGGTGCTGCTGCTGATGTTTCTGTTGTCTCCATGACCTGCCTCGGCGTCCAGATGTCGCTGCTGGTGTGCGACTTCGGCCTCAGCTGCCATTTTAAAGTAACCAACGTAAAGATCTCCGGGCGGTGAGGAAACACTGAAGCTGTCCAACCGCAGAGCACAATGCAGCAGACCTATTAATTGCATTTAACACAGATTTGCATGATGGTTAAACCGACTATGCAGTGCACTCAGCAGGAGTTTGCACTCACAACTCAGAGTTTAATACCAACACATTTATTATTCTAATTGTCACTGAGGGGGCTTTTACATCCCCATAGAACCACAGCATCTTCCCCTGTTGCCCACATTGGGGTGGCAGCTGTTAGCGTGATAAAAACTTTAAAATAGGAATGCATTGCGTTAGTAGTTGCATCTGAAGCAGGACGTTTTGTATCTAATGATGGTGTTGAATACATCAGACAATGCACTGACAACTTACCAACATCCTCCGTGTGTGTGGAACACTACCTTTACCGTCTGAGACATCTGGCAGACGTTTCCAAAAAAAGCTAAACATGAAGGTAGACGGCAGAATGTGACGTGTTTTTAATTTTAAGCCTCGTTCAGACACCGTCTCTGTTCCCCTGCACACAGATGGACGCGTCCAGTTTGCGTTGCTGCAGGCGGTCGACCAGAAAGCAGCAGAAGCAGCAGAGCGTTAGTGCGTCTCTCAACACCGTCCAACTTTCCCCGTCGGCGGCGCTTCGCCCCGAGCGCCTCAATTTCTGCTGCAGAAAATTCTCTAGTTTCATTTTCAGAAAAGACTAAATAACACTATTTTAGCAGTAAAGTGCATTTTCAACTTTGAATTAATACTCAGAATAAACCATTTCCAGTCGTCACAGTGAAGTGGTGCGGCTCGCTGATGTGGTTTTAAGAGGATCTGGGCGACAAACGAGGTCTGTGGCTCGGATGGATGAATCCAGACTCAGAAAATGCTTGTTAGCAGCATCATTGTCTTTGTTTTTTACTGTTAGATAACAGGTATGTTTTCCTTACTGATGTTTATTTTACCATTTTTAGACCTTATGTTAACACTAACATACCCACGTGCAGTTCATTCATGCACATAGTCTTAAAGTTGTGTTCTTCTTGTTTACACTGTGTATAGAGAGTATGTAATGTATAGCTGTGTTTTTCTTTCTGTCACTTTGCTGCTGTGACGTTGCACATTTCCTCTTGTGGGACTAATGGAGGATATTTGATTCTGCTCTACAGACAGGTTCGCTTGTTGTTGCAGACAGAACGCTGCTTCCTTTTGCACGGCTTGAATCTGCTCCTGTTTCACTCCAGGGAACGACTTGGCACAAAACGCGTTAATTTACTCGGTAGGGGGTCAAATCGGAACAACTCCACAAAATGGTGCTAAAAACCAGAGCGTGTCGCCGGAGCACAGCGCTGACGCCACGTCGTGGCGTTCTCCCGTGAACGGCTGGACCGCCGTGGAGCCGGAGTAATTGAAGGAAGCGGTCCTGGTGCTGCGCCGTGGCTCAGCGTGTGCAGTGCTGTCGGGTGGAGCTGCTGGAGGCCCGTTGGCGCTCTGCCTCCCTCTCTCTCTCCGCTGGGTGGGTGAGTTCCTGTGTGGAGGAGCCGGCTGATTGACAGCTCCATATGAGTCTGTGTAATTACGGCCGGGCTAATTGGCAGAGAGGAACACTGGGACATTGTCATTACTGACACACCAGGACAACCCCTCTCACATGCAGATGGAGCGAGAGATCGGCCTCCTCGCAGAGGGAGGCGTGGAGCGGCGAGGGAGAGGAGGGTTCAGAGGGATGGAGGGAAAGTGTGTAGGTCTGCGTTTGTGTCTTTCATGTGCGGTTGGTGGTAGTAGGGAAACAGTTTGCTTGTTTCTATTTATGGCATCCTTTTTTTTATCACATTGTGCTCATCTCTTTAATTAATTGACAGGTGGCTAAGCCCCGCCTCCCTCTTAGTTACTGTTGCTAGGACCGTCTAGCATTCATTCATACAGTTTACAGGACAGCACTTGGCTGCCTTCCACTGCAGGATCTTGCAGGCTATCTCAGGACGGCCCAAACCCTTTGTGAACCGTCTTATCTGGAACCTACTCCAGGGTCGGCTGTGTGGGTCTCGATGCCGATTGGTTGAACCAGCAGAAGGAAATGCTAATTGGTTAAAGTCAAAGAGGCAACAGGCGGCGTCCCGGTTCCTCTGAAACATCACCATGCTCAACACAAAATCCACCATAAAGCCTACCTTAAAAAAAGTTCTGTTTCCTTTGTGCAGCTACGTTTGTTCTGGTGCACGAGGAGTTCACGTTCTGCAGAAACAGAAAGGCTCAACCGTCCAATGAGGGGCCCGTTCCTGTAAACATTTGGACTTCCTGTTCTGTGAAACTTTGGCAGTTTATTAGCATAGCACATTCAAAGTGCTTTACAGAGACGTTAAAACATAATAACTTACTGCAGATCAGGTTCGTTTGGCTGATTCTGCCAACTAGAGTGAGCCAAGCTAGCTAAGTTAGCATTAGCGCTGTGAGCTGATTGGCTATTACTAGAACATGATATGGTGCCGATGTACTGACACTGAAGCTGCTTGGCAAAGAAAGTCAGCGTCTTTATGCTCCATGCAGGAGACAGAACAAAACCAGCATGATCCTCGTGTTCCAGTGCGTTCGTTTCATTATCGTGTGTTCAGACTCCTGGTGAACTGGTTTCCGTCGCTCCGCCTCCTTCCACACCGTAAAGGCCTCGTTGCTGAACAATCTCCGTTCAGAGGCGTGTTCAGCGAGCGGTCGATTCCAAATGTGCTGCTTCTTCGAAAAATCTTAATTTTGTGCTTCTGCCAGAAACCAATTTGACTGGTTCCACTTTCCAAGAAAAAAACAAACAACCCACATCACTTTCTCTTGTGTTTACCAAAATGGCATTGATCAGCCAAGCACCGCCGCTTACAGCCTTTATTCACCAACAAAGCAACAAGTCGAGGGCTTGAGTATCCCATTGTGCTGCCTGACAGACGCCTGAATGCTGCTCTGAATGAAACAGGCTTTTAGTTCGGCCTGTGAATATGCTGCAGTGGTCACTCCTTGCAGCCCGGCTTTTAAAAGCTGTAAGTGTTTTGCCATCTGATCCGGGCCGGCCTCCAGCCTTCGATGGCCTTGTGTAGCCGTCCCCGCTGCCAGCTCTGTTGAGTGTGTTTATGTGAGGGGTTTGGTATCTCCTCTCTGCCTCCCAGGGCGGCTCTGTTTGCTCAGATTGCAGCCTTGGAAGCCACACAGGGCTGCGCTACATGTTTTCAGCCTCAGTAATAATTCAGGCTGCTGTGGCTCCTCCAGCCTGGTCCCATCACCTCGCTGCAGTCGTCAGACTTCAGATGTGTTCAGAGGCAGCAGCAGCGTCTCTTGTTTTTGTTGTTGCACTCCACAGTTTCTCTGTCTTCTGTTATGTTTCTGAGTAGTTTGTCGATCTTCTTTGGCTCGATCCAAATCCAAAACAAGATGGCGGCGCGCAGTGGTGCAGCGGCTTCCCAAGCTCCCGGCGCTAAGCTTTATTTGGATACTTTAGCGGCTGCTGTTAGTGCTGGTTTTATGAAGCACAGCTCAACAGAACTGATGGTTATCAGCAACAGTTC